ACCACCCTGGATTCCCTGTGTTTCCAGTTCCTATCTGTACCAGTGTACATCCTCTGGTCTAGCCAGACTTGCAAGGTAGAATTCGGATCATCATAGACCCACAGCCCTTTCCTACAAGACTCCAAGCCTCCTTTGCACTGCACAGTTCTGCAAGGGAAGTATGGGCTCACTGTGCTTGCTTGCTCGTCTGTGGTGAGCCGCTGAGCATGGGTTTCACCATGTGGATGTGGTGAGAAACACGAGGCACTTCACTGCGGGTAGTAGGCGCACATGAACCTGTGCTTACTTTGCACGTGAGGAATCCACTCCGGGGGACCCATGAGGCCTGGGTCCTCCACAGAGAAGACCCATCTTCTTCTAAGAGACCCTCTGAGAGCACGCACCCCCACCAACCCAAGTCCCCGGTCCTCTGCCCCCACCCCCCACCCCAAACCTCCAAACCCCCCATGGAGCATGATGAAAACCCCATACCTTCTCACCCTTTTCTCCTTGGACGAAAGGTCCTCTGCCCTGCAGGGAAGCCGGGGAAAGAGAAGGCAGAGCTTCAGATGGAGCAATCCCACGGCATGATGCCCCCTCCCCCCATGCCAGGCCACCGGGGAGTGCGAGCACTGGGGGTTGGTTGTCCCCCACCCCCACCTCAGGAGGGACAGCTGAGAGCCGCTGTGTGTGGATGGTCGTGAGTATTATGACAATTTCACCACTCAAACCGCTCACGCCACCCCTCACCCATCATAGCCATACTGAGGGACCGCTCGAATGCCACACGGTGCCACTGCTGGACACGTGCAAGTCACGGCATCCTCCACAGCTCCCCAGAGCAGGGTCACCGTCACCACTGTCCGTGTAGAGCAGCTTCCACGACACCAAAGAGAAAGAGTGGGTCCTATGGCTAGTTCCACACGTCAGTTACACAGTGCCTTCAAAGTCCACCGTCCACACTGCCCTGGGATCGTCTGGTTGCAGGTGCATGGCTGTCTGGCCCATTCGTAGGTGTGTCCTTGTGTACATGCGGCACCGTCCACACTGCCCTGGGTTTATCCCTGTTGTAGGTCCATCGATACTGCTGTCTACACTGCTCCTACCTCACAACGTGTGCGCCCACCCACATGACGGCCACATGGGGGGCAACATGGAGCAGGGACCTCTACTCACCGAGTCCCCTTTCTCGCCTCTGGATCCAGGCGCGCCGGTCAGCCCGGGCATCCCCATGTCTCCCTGAGAGAGGCAAGAGGAAACGCAATCAGGTTAGACCCACACACAGGCCACCTTGGCCTCGCTCCTTGAAACGGCTGACTCCACCATCATTCCTTGTACATGCAGCCTGCTCACCACTGGAAGCAGGGGGTGGGCTTTCTGTAGGAGGCCCCGCCCAGCCAGGGTCCAGGTGGGTAAAGTAGCAGCTGGCCAGGGCAAGGAAGGTGAGGAGCGGTGTCCCAGGCTAAGGGGAGCTGGCATGAGAAGTCGCTCGGGGTGTGGTCGGGCTGTGGGATGCTCACAGGCATGCAACTCAGAATGAAGCCTTGCATTCCCATCCCTGGGGTCTAAGGTCCATCTCAGACCTTCCCCCATGACCACCGCAGTCCCAGGAACCCAGGGCATCCTGAGGAACAAAAGCCCGGTGCCAAAGGCCCAGGTTCAAAGCCAGGCCCCGCCTCATCCTGCGTACAGTCATCCCTCCTGTGGCTCCCAGTTTCTCTTCTACAAGACAGGCATGCGATCATGAGCACACACAGCACTAAGGCCTGGAGAGTGCTTTGAAAACTGTGATGGGCTCACTAGGACCTCAGAGAAGCCGAGCCAACAACGGGAAAGCAAAGACTTGCCGGAGGGCCCAGTGTGGGCTAGGTCAGCTGGTTGCTTCGTGGTTATGCATTGTTGCTAACCACCAGGTCACCAGTTCAAAATCACCAGCCGCTTCTCAGGAGAAAGATGAGGCTGTCTACTCCCATGAAGAGTTACAGTCTCGGAAACCCACGGGGGCAGTTCTACACTGTTCTATAGGGTTGCTGGGAGTCGGCAAGGGTTTTTGGTTTTGTTTTTGTTTCGGGGAACTGTGGACTAGGGGCAAAACGAGACTGGCACCCCAAACCATGGTTCCTCTTGTCTGAAATTTTGCCATTCCATGCTTGCTTATCTCACAGTTCACCTGCCAGGCGTCCGTGCCTTCTTCTCCGACAGAACCCAGCTTGGGTGGGCAGAGCCTCCTCCCACAGAAAGTCTCCCCTCAGCCTTCTTCCAGTAGCATGGAGACCCCTTTGTGGGATCCTAATGTAGGGTCCCCCGGGATGGCCCCCACCCAGGCCTCCCCACAGTGGTCCCACCCATCTCGCTTGTGCCTGTCTGCCACTGCACTGAGGGTCTGTGATTTACTGTTCTCTTCCCACATCCAGGAGGGGCTGGTCCCAAGGGGGCCTGGCCATGCTCACTGACACAACTCAGCTAGTGTTAGGTGAAGGAAGCCCGGTTTGTTGAGAGTTGTAACGATGGTTCAGAGCCATGGCGGTGTCTTGGTTACATGCTGGACTATGATCTGCAAGGTCTGAGCTTCCAAACCACCAGCTGCTCCTTGGGAGAAAGGCCGGGGTTTCTACTCCCGTAAACAGTCACAGTCTCGGAAACTCAGAGGGGCAGCTCTACCCTGTCGCAAAGGGTCACTCTGAGCCGGCATCGACTTGATGGCAGTGAGTTTAACCATGGCTGGGCCATTTGCTGGCCAGTCTCTCAGGCAGGGAGGGCAAACCAGCCAGGCCTGCTTCCAACGGCTCCGTGCATACTCCCTCCTTCCCATCTGTGCCCTTCCACACCTCTCTCTCCTCTCCCAGGCTCAGGGGGTCCGACTCTGCTGCCCACTCCCCCACCCCCCAGGTGTGTGCAACCACAGCAAGGGCACAGCCAGCACCAAACCAGACACGGTCTGCGGGCAGACCCACAGCTCCAGGCAGACTGGCTGCACAGAGACGATGCCACGGCGTGTCCCAGCCCAGCGCATGCTCAGTGAGTCAGAAACACCAGTGTCCTTTCTGTCATGGTCCACACACCCTGTACGGCTTCTACCTGCTCTCACCAGCACAGAGAGGCGTGGGGGGGGG